GAAGAACTGGGAAGAACAGAACTACTTTGCATAATGTGCAAAACAGACTATTGACTGTGCATTATAATGCTAAAGACAGAAAAACTTGTACACAGAGTTTACTCTTCTTGGAAATGTGTAAGAAATTCTGAAACTATGTTTAATTTAGGATTGAGTAAATATGTAAATATACTATGGATGATGAGAATTGATTTTCAGCTGTCAGAAAAAGAAGTTACAAAAAGGAAAGGGGGGGATAGAATGGATGGCAAGTATCAATATGAACTCATAGTTAATATACATAATTACTAACATATGAGCTATTTTATACGTTTTAATATTTATTTATATATCATCAAATTATAGATCATGTAGATCTATATAAACCATGAGCCACATGAACCATGAGTTATATATGAGGCACTTACATGAAAACATGATTGTAAGTCCAAGTGCATACATACATTACCCCCCTCCCAGCTCTATCTGTTCAGGTGGTCCAGAAGCAATGATATCCCAGGGGCACTGAGCACACCCAGAGTCCAATTATTGATTTTGAAACAAAAATTTCCAATAAAGCGAACCAGAGTTCCTTGGAGAAATGTTGATTCCAAGGCTACAGTGGGAAGATCCAAGATGAGCTTGGTGTAAAATATTTAGGAAATTCTCAGAAGGTAATGAACATGGTGAGAGAACCCAAGAGTGAGCATGAAGAGGCTCCCCATGGCCCAGTATAGACAACTTAAACAACAAAATAAATAAAGATGGTAATTAATAATCTGTGGAATAAAATAAATACCTGCGGGTCCACAGTCATATAAATGAATAAACAAATGAGTACTGAATATATAAGAAGGTAGAAGGGATAGCTCTTCCTTACAGTAGAATTCCAAAGAATACATGTAGCATTAATGTTATAAATTAAAGTTTCTATTAGGCAAATACTGCCATAATAAAAAGTATTGGTAAGAATCAGAAGCAATAAGGAAGGGAAAAGGAAAAGAAAACAGTAGCAGGAAAAAATGGAAACAAAGCTTTTGTAAATAAGGAGAAGAAGAGAGGGGAGGGGAATGGAGAAAAAAGAAGAATCAAGATATATTATGGACAAGTACAAATTCTCTATGATGAATGTGGTCATTATGTATATGAAAAGTGTACTAATAAAATTAACTTTAAAAAATGAATGAGAAGCAATATTTGCCGTATCTCCCCAGAAGGCATGCATCAGCCACAGAGGGGGAAACAGTGGCTCTGCAGTGAATAAACCTGGCTGTTGCCACCTTACGCAGGTGATCAGGGTCACAGTCCTGGTAAAAGGACATGTAAGATGTATGGATATCATGACCTTCCCAACAGAGTGCACCAGGAAGAACACAGCATCACTTTTGCAGCATCATTGTCCAAAATGCATCACCCCTGCTGGAGACCCCTGCAGTTAGGTTTCAGTTTCCTGCCCAGTATATGTCGCAGGACTGAGGGAAAAAAAAGAACTAAAAGACAGAACTAAGAGAGAGAAAGTGGGGTGCCAAGATGACCAATGCTGGTGCAGCCCACAAAGGTGCTGGCCAGTCCCAGGCACTCAACTGGGGTAAAGGCAAGCTACATGGAAGGGCAGGACCACATGTAGCTTCTATGGAAATTGATGTAAGCAAGGCTCATGAAGGGCAAGACAAAGCATTCTTGAATTAGGAATAGAATAGACAAAATATACTGTTGTAATTAGAACATTGTCCTTCTAGTTAGAAAGTTTTAATTGTGGGAACAGAATTTGGGTGTGAGTTACTCTGACCTCAGCACATAGGCTTCAGCTGGACTCACTTGCATAAACAAGCCAGTTGTGGGGTTAACTCTTAACAGCCCACACTGCTTATAGCCTGCTTTGAGCATAATCAATATTGCAGTCTCCCACAATCCCAATGTAATCATGAGGAAGTTTAGGCTTTCATTCTCAGGAATTGGTCAAGAGTCTTCACATGGGAAATATAATGCTAAGTGAAATAAATCAGACACATAAGCTTAAATACTGTATGGTATCTCTCATTTGAGTAAGGCAAAGTGTCAATAAAAAGCAAAAATAAAGTACAGGAACATAGGAAGAAATGGAGATATATCTTTTTTAAATGAGGAGGGGTCTGAGAGACCAAGGATGAGGGAAAGGGGAAGAGGAAGGGAAAGTAAGCTCCCACAATGAATGTAAACATTATATGTCATAAACATGAACTAAAAATGATGATAACAGTAACAGTGGCAATGGAGAAAGAGGATCTAGAGACGAGGGGGGGGAAGATGAATAAAAAAGAATCAAGAAGTGTTATAAATATATACCTACTCCCTAAGGTGAATGTAAACTTCATGTATTGCAAGCATGTGTTAATAAATAAATTTTAAGAAAGAACCTTCACATGGACCTAGGTTATAAGAAATAACCTTTGGGCTGGGTATTTAGCTCAGTGGTTCCACCGCCTGCCTTGAAAGTGTAAGGACCTGAGTTTGATCCCCAGTACCAAAAAAAAAAAAAAAATCATTCTACAAAAAAAACATTCTCAAAGAAATAACCTTTGGTCTGTTCTTCTCCTTTTGCAAGAGTGCCTCATCCTCTTTTCTACAAGCCTTGCCTGTGTCAGCTGATATCACCAGATACCACACCACATGTATCCCCCTACCCTATTCTTACCTATGCCTTTTTAATCAGTAAATACTGACAGTTCTGGTTGTTTGGGGTCCTTGCCACATGCTTGGTGTGGCTCAGCCTAGTTCCTCACTTTCTATTTAAGTCTTGTTTCCATGTTCTACTTTTGTCTTGCATCGAATTGCCTTCCAGGAGATCAAGATTCTTGGCTAGGATCTTCAATAGAAAAATACAAGGCAATTTCTAGTAAACAATTTGAATTATAATGCTTGGGTTATTCATTTATGCAAAAAACAGTTGTGGAGCATCTACCATGCGATGTGATTGTGCTAGACTCTGGGACTACATAAAGAGAAGTGTTAGGAGCTCTTCAGACCCCTGAATACTTGTAGGGAGGATGATGAGGAATGAAAGAAAGAAACAGAGTCAATATTCAATATTCAATATACAAAAGGGGGACCAGGAGGAATCTGCCTCTAGTGGACAGGCTTTGACAAACTCCTTGGTGGACCCACTTTTATTTAGCCAGCAAGGCTTGCAGGGAAGGGGGTGGTGTACTAGTTCAGGAACAGCAACTGCAGTTAAGATTAGGGTAGCAAGCTAGGGCCCAAGTTTAGGATCTCAATGGAAACAAATTAAGGTCCTTTCCCATACTTGGAGGCCTACATTTTATACTGTCCTCAGTAGAATGCTAATTTGCCTCAGAAGCACTGTAGTTATGGCCTTCCCACACAGCCAGGAATTCTGCGACCTTTTGCATACTTCTCTGTTCCTGAGGCAATTCAACATCTGGCCTTAGGACTGTGGGGCCTGTGGCCTTTCTTCCACCAATCTATGCATATCACGGCTGGTCCCCAACAGAGAAGAATACACAAAATGAGAAGGATGTGGTGCCTAGAGTCCTGGGGTTTTTCCTAGCAGGAAGATGTTCCTATGGGAAAAGTGCAGGGATGGGCCTCTGAAGACTTACTTCATTATCGAGCAAAACTCATGCACCCACATCTATCTTAGGAAACCCATATAAAGGAGTGAAGAATCACTTTGCACACAGGTAAAATTCTTCACAGAACTTAGAAAAATAACTCCTATGTACACTAGTCATCATCCTGGGGTGAAACTGGAGAGCCCACCTGGACATCCAGAAAGCAGTTCAGGTTTTTTCCAAAGGCTCTGAGGATAGCTGGTGGGCAGACTGGAGAACTGGCACATAGCTCTAGAATTTCCCCATTTTCACAATGGTCACAAATCACCCCATTTATTTAAGGGAAATATGAAACTAACATGTGTGCCTGTGACAGTTTTCCTTTTAACTTTTAGAAATGTTTATGCATAGATTCTATTTCTTGCATTTGACTGGGTTACAGCACATGAAATGTCCCTGCCAAATGTTTTTAAAATGTATTCACTGTCTTGGTGATGACACCAAGACTTGATAATTGTGCAGTTCAATACATTTTCGGACATTTAAACCTGAATCATTCTGGAGTGAAGGCAGTGTGCAATTTACTTAGCAATTTTAATACATACACTACCAAGAAAGAAAGTGCTATGAGCAAAGTAGGAGCATAATACATGCATCCTGAATATTAATTTCCCTACTGCAGCACAAAACAATACTTTTAAAAACAACTTTTTGTTGTTATTGATTGCCTAAATCAATTGCTCAAAAACCGCAAGTGAAATGGCAGTTCACTTTCTTATCCAGGGAATAGAATTTTCAAAAGATGTGATCAATAAAAAAGTGCATGGAATAATGTTATTTTTAAACAGAGACATGAAGTTAAGAACAAAACAAAACAATGATCACAGAGCAAGTAAGCAACCAAGCTGGGAAACAATGACTGCTTTGTCCAAGCAATGGTGGCCACTTGTATCACTCACTGAGTAAGCACTTGGTATGTGGCAGCCGTGGTTCAAAGATATTTGCTTGAATGATCTCATTGAATTCTACAAAAACCCTACAGTGTAGGTACTAACAGTCTTCTCAATGTATAGGTCATAGGAGTTAGGGAAGATACAGAGTAAACTGATCACATTAAATAGAAGAATAGGGGTTCAAATATGGACTGCTCCCCTACCCTTGCTATAGACTCTTGGGAAGGTATTCCTAAAGTCACCTTCAGTTCTCCAGCCAGTGGACTTCAAGAAGTCTTAGGATGTAAGTATAATCCAGTCTGTCATCTTTGTCCTCATTAGCCACAGAACCCCCTGTTCCCATGTTCCCTCACAAATTTCCCTTGGTGATCAAAAAGCCCTGCTGGCTGTGGGAACCATTCCACCCTACACAGGACTAGTCTGTCTACAGAAGTTGCCACAGCATTTCCCCAGCAGATGCTAGCCTTGCCCCAGCTCCCAACCCTGACATGGCCGTTAGAATTAGAATAGTGCTGACCTCTCTGTGATCACCGGATTGGCCACTGCTCTCATGTGTAATCTTGAATGTCCCTGAGTGTTGGCTGCTGACAGCTCCCAGCTGGGCCCATCTTTAGGAATTGCCCTCTGCAGCAGAAAACCATCTCGTCAAAGGTCACAAGCTTCCTCAGCAGCAGTTCATATCCTGGTAAGTGCAGGAAATCCAGGGATTAAAGTTGAGAGGTGACATCATACTTGCATCTCAGCCCAGTGCTCACTTCCTAGATGGAATGGGAAATGAGCTAGAGAGGGGAGAGGAGGGCCCTGGGGGACAGGGAGGGCTCTCTCCTTAGGGGGTGCAAGGCAGAGACTCTGACAAAAATAGAGACAGAGAAAGGAAGAGGAAATGAATAGAGACTTGCAAAGTAGGATCTCTGAAGCTTGGCAGCCAAGTTCTTGGTTGGTTTTTTTGGTCTTGTTTTTTTGAGCACCCCCCCCCCGCCCCGCTTCAGTACTGGGGATTGAACCCAAGGCCTTCACACTAAGCTACATCTCCAGCTCTTTTTATTTATTTGTTTGTTTCATTTTTTGAAATATGATCTCCTATATAGTTCAGACTAGCCTTGAACTCATTGTATAGCCCAGTCTGGCTGGCCTCAAACTCACAGCAATCCTCCTTCCTCAGCCTCACAAGTTCTGAGATTACAGGTGTGTTCCACCACACCTGGCTTTCCAGTCCTTTTTATTTTGAGACAAGGTCTCACTAAATTTCTGAGTTGCCCAGGCTGAGCTCAGACTTGCAATCTTCCTGTCTCAGCTTCTCAGAGTGCTGGGATTTCAGGCATGTACCACCACACTTGGCTCCAAGTCCTTGTTTTCATATAAATATCTTTCCAGTCTCTTTCCATGAGCACTCACAGAACTACAGACTAAACAAACACTGCACACATTGTCCTGTGTGCCTTGTTCCCATGGGATTCTGACTCAGCTGGCCACAGGACCTGAAGCTACATTTCTAGCTGTGTCCAGGGGCATTTGCTGCTGGTCCACAGCCATGCTGACAATAGTGAGACCTTATGGGTCTAAGTCCCCTTGCTTCCATTCATCTCTGATTAAATCTTATCTCAAAAATTAATTTGTGAATTTTTTTCTTTTGTCTTTCCACTTTGTGAATTCTTAGAGGGCAGAGATGATAAGTGATTTTTAAAATCTAAATCAAGTGTGGAATATACAAGTGCATATTAATCCACTGATGCCTTTAAGGTGAGATTATGTTATTTCTAAATTTCTTTTTAAATATTTTCATTAGTAGTATATATGTGTGATAATAATAATTACTTTCATCTTGGGGAATTGGTACATAGTCATTTTGATGACATTCTTTTCTACAGATTACATCCAGGCTGCTGCCACAGCTATCATGGGGCCATTTTTATTCATTTATGTAATACCACAGTTGCATTTCCATCAACTGAAGTCAAACAGGAATATGGCCAATGGATGGGGGGCGGGTATTGAATTTACTTTTGCTTTTAAGCAAGCAACAATTCAACCTTGTTTATTGTTGGATCATTGATAATTAAAAGCACTGGTTCATGAAAGATGCATTTGTTTTCATGGACTAGCAAATGGCTCTGCTAAGGCCTCAAATGGACATTCACAAAGGCACAGCAGCGATATCCCATGCATGGCTGTGACTGCCACAGAGGTTCACGGCTGCCACCGCCAGCTGCTGTCAGAAAGAGAAAGCAAAGGGCAGTGTGACCTTAGGGCTCCAGCCTCTCCCTGCTCTTTCTTTGGAGACTCGGTTATGGGGAAGGTATTTTCTCTCATTACAGGGTTTGAGGTATGAAAAGTGATCTTCTATGGGCCAAGGATTTAGCTCAGTGGCATTGTGCCTGCCTGGCAAGCATGAGGTCCTGAGTTCGATCCCTGGTACCAAAAAAAAAGTGATCTTCTAAAAAGTATAAACCCTAACACATAATTATTAAAAAACCATCTTCGGGCCTTTCTTTGAAATAGTACGTATCAGCAAAAAAAATTTTTCATTTTTTATTCTTTATTAGTACGTATTTGTCACAATAATGATCACATTCATCATAGGGAATTTGTATCTGTACAGAATTTATCTTAATTCTTTTTTTTCCCCCATTTCCCTCCCCTCCCTTTAATGCTTCTTCCCCTCCCCATTTACAAAAACTTTGTTTCCAGTTTTCCCTTCCATTCTTTTTGTTCCCCTTTTCTTCCTTCCTTGCCAGCCCCCCTTGTTGCCTTTCCCATTTGAACATACCTAATTCTCAACATCTCTCCTCCATTATTGTTATGGTTTGTGTTTACGTGTCCCCCCAAAGCCTCATGTTTTTTCAGACATGGCTGGATTTACAGTGTGATTGATTCATGGTGGGGTTAGGACCAAGGCCACTAGGATTAAGGGTGTGAGTGCTACTTGCCCACCCTAAGTAGTCTGAATAAAATAAAAGGGGCAGAAACACACTATTAAGGTCCCTTTGTTGCTTTTGCTACCTTGTGGGCATCATGAACTATTTCTCCTCTGCAATGCCCCTCTGCTATGTGCCATTGTGCCCCAGAATCAGATGATTATGGACAGAAATCTCTATGAACTATAAGCCAAATGAACCTTTTCTCCTTTAACTTTCGGTGTCAGGTATTTTGTCTCAGCAATAAAAGTAACTAAGACAATTATGTTTTTTGTGTTTCTCATACAAGAGAAACAGTGGCATATTTAAACTTATGTTTGCAATTTATTCCACTTAAATTATGGTCTTAAGGTGCATTCATTTCCTATAAATGTCTCAAGTTTATCCTCCTTTATGACATAATAGTACTCCATTGTATATAAATAGCATATTTTCTTTATCCATTCATCTGTTGATGAACATATGGGCTGTTTCCAAGATTTGGCTATTATAAATTGTGCTGCTATAACATAGGTATGCATATATCACTGTGGTATGATGCTTTTAACACTTCCAGGAAGATATCTAGGAGGGGAACAGCTGGGTCAAATGGAACCTCTAGTTTTAGTTTTTAAGAAATCTCCATACTGATCTCCATAGTGTTTACACTCCTACCAGCAATGAAGAAGGGTTCCTTTTCCCCACAACCACGCCAGCATTTTTTATTGGTTGATTTCTTGATGATAGCCATTCTGGAGTGAGATAGAATCTGTGTTTTAATTTGCATCTCTTGAATGACCAGTGATGTCGAGCATTTTTTCATATATTTATTTGCTGTTTTTACCTCTTCATCTGAGAAATTTCTGTTCATTTCCAATGTTCATTTTTGGATTGGGTCTTTAAATTTAGGGGGTCCAATTTTTTTGAGTTCTCTATATATTACAGATGTTAGTCCTCTGAGGAGCAACGTAAAAATTTTTTTCCCATTCTGTGAGGTGATTCTTCACTCTGCTGATGGTTTCTATTGCTGTGCAAAAGTTTTTTAATTTGATGTGATCCCAGCTGTTAATTCTTTATAATATTTCCTGTGTGATTGGGGTTTTGTTCATAAAGTCTTTGCCTACATCTATGTCTTCCAGAGTTTTACCTATTCTGTCTTCCAGCAAATTAAGTGTTTCTGTTTTAATATTTAAATATTTGATCCATTTCGATTTTAGTTTAGTGCATGGTGAGAGATATGGGTCTAGTTTCAATTTTCGGCATGTGGAAAGCTTGTTTTCCGAGCACCACTTACATATTAAAGAGGCTATCTTTCTTCGAGTGAAGGTGTCTGGCCCCTTGTCAAAGATAAGGTCGCTGAATGTGCTTAAAGTTGTTTCTGCATCTTCTATTCTGTCCTATTGATCCTCAGGTCTGTTCAAATTGGGAATTGTGATGCCCTTTGCCTTGCCCTTGTTGCCCAAAATTGCTTTTGCTCTTCTAGGTCTCTTCTGATTCTACATGAATTTTAAGATTGTTTTCTCTAGTTCTGTGAGGTATGCTATTGGTATTTTGATTGGGATTGGGTGAAGTCTATATAAAAGTTTTGGAAGTACGAGTATCTTCACTATATTGGTTCTGCCCATCCAGGAACAGGGGATATCTTTCCGTTTTCTGATACTCTCTTCTATCTCCTTTTTCAGAGGACTGTGGTTTTCAATGTATAGGTCTTTCACTTCGTTAGATTGATTCCTAAGTATTTCTTTTCTCTTGATGCTTTTGTGAAAGGTGTCGTTTCCCTAATTTCTCTCTCAGTGAGTTTGTGTACAGGAATCCTATTCATTTTTGAGTGTTGATTTTGTATCCTGCTACACTGCTGAATTTGTGTATTAATTCCAGTAGTTTTGGTGGAGTTTTGGGGGATCTTCTCTGTAGAGTATCACGTCATTAGCAAATAATGATAATTTAATGTCTTCCTTTCCTATCCTCACTCCTTTTATTTCTTGCTCTTGTGTAATTGTTCTGGTTAATGTTTCCAGAACTATATTGAACAAGGGTGGTGATAGGATTCTCTTGTTCCAATTTTAGAATGAAAGCTTACAGCTTTTGAACATTTAGTATATATTGGCTGTTGGTTTGTCATAGATGGCTTTTATCAGATTGAGATAAAGACCTTCTATTCCAATTTTTTGTAGAGTTATTTTTTAATCATGAATGGGAGTTGGACTTTGTCAAATGCTTTTTTTTTTTTTGCATCTATTGAGATGATCATGTGGATTTTGTCCCTTGGTTCTATTAATGTGGTATATTATACTTATTGATTTGTGTATGTTGAACAATCCCTGCATCCCTGGGATGAATCCTACTTGATCATGGTGTACAATCTTTTTGATGAATTGCTGTATCTTTTTTTTTTTCTGGTACCAGGGATTGAACTCAGGACCTTGCGCTTGTGAGGCAAGCATGGTGCCATTGAGCTAAATCCCCAGCCCCTATTTGCCAGTATCATATTGAGGATTTTTGCAGCTATATTCATTAAGGAAATTGGCCAGTAATTCTTTTTCTTAGTTGGATTCTTCTCTGGTTTTTGTATCAGGGTAATTATTGATTCTAGGATTGAGTTTGGGAGTATTGCTTCCCTTTTAATTTCATTAAAGAGTTTGAGGACTGATGGCATTAAATCATCTCTAAATTTCTAGAATTCAGCAGTGAATCCTTCAAGACCTGGGGTTTTCTTTGTTGGGAGTTTTTTCTTTTAAATTGTTTCAACTTCATTAAATTACTGAGAATGTCTATATCTTCTTGATTC